AAATATTGAATATACTATTTCTTAATATCAACAAACAAAATATAAGCAAATGAAAATACTGTTTACAATTTTATAAGCGATACTTAGATATGTACAAGTATAAGAAAATATGTCACACAAGAAGCAATATAAAATATATGTCATTTGCAAAAGTATCAATTTTGACAGTAGGCTAATCCAGTAAAAAATAATGCACAAATCTAAATTTAAATCTGAAATATTAGCTCCTTTAAATTCATATCCAGCCCTCAACATTATGATGACGCCGATTTGATTTTAAAGATGCCAAAAACTTAAATTCCATGAAAAATCCTGGAAAAAAGGAATACTAATTGTTTAATGATAATGATTTTATGTTCTATGAGAGTCAAATTGGCAACTCGGTCATGGAGAAATGAGTTACCGCAGGATATTTTATCCTAATTTCTGCAAATGTGTCCAACTTGCCATTGATGAATCATAAAAGAGAAATCAACACTCAAAATTAATTTTCAAACTACATAAATATCTATTTCAATACAAAACAGAAATAAAGTACTCCTGATTGATTGATTGTGTTTGTAAATAAAACATTTCAGTCTTCTGCCTTCCAATGAGATTTGAATTGACAGTGATGTAATTAAGATGGTTACGTAATATCACATTTAAGATAGTTATGTAACAATACCAGGAAAAAGCTGGAGTTGGCACAAATGTTTATTCTTTTTGTTTATTACATCATCGCTTTAATAAACTCCTGAAGTCAACTGTGAAGAGTTGCCAGACAAAGGTCGTACCAAATGAAGCCGGAATAGTTAACAAATTATCCAATTCAATATATTTACAGCTCCGCCTTAAAATAATAGGCAATTTGAAAGTGATTTTTTTTTTCATTTTCTATTTATGACTAGCACTGTATTTCAAAAGGTATTAAAACATTTTTGATGTTTGTTGTTTTACCTGACTGCTAAGAAAGCATTTTTATGCTTGCAAGTAAGTAACTAATAACCAGGGTAATGATGGCTTAAAGTCCTCTCCAAGGGACTTGGTAATGACAGTTGATGCCTTACCAAAGGGCATGGGGGCATTGACTTGGTTCCTAATGCAGGACCTCCTGGTTACGAGACCAATGCTCTACCAATGAGCTATCGCGCCTCCATCATAAACATGAATACATAATCACAGTCTAAAAATTGCAGGTACAGTGTATGTCACAATAATATGAAAAAGGAGGGGATAATCTTTTACTTGAATTTATCCAAGGTGGTATGTAACATGATTTCTGCAGGGCAGTGTACCAGCATGCACTGTTGTTGTGGCTTGGGATCTGGATGCGTGTCATTTACAATCAGAGCTGCTATGTCAGTCAAAGCAACAGCAACAACACCAACAGTGGCATGACATGGCATGGTGGTACAACTACATTGCAGGCACAAACCCTAAGTCTGTCACTGTGTGCAACAGTGTCTTTACTGTGAGACTAGGCTGACTGCATACTGCATAGGCTCTGTACTTTAGCTTTTCTGGACACAGCCAGAGACCGATTGAACTAGGCTCTGCTCAAGTCTTTAAGAATTATCGTTGAAGTATCAAATTATAGTCTGTGCTTGTAGACTAGCACAAAACAATAGAAATCATGTTGTATGGGGCAACTCTACTCCTGAGACCTTTAAACAACACTGTGATTTACATTACCTCTATGTGTACTTTTTATAAATATTATAGGGGGGGGGGGGGGTAGGCAGAGCTTTATATACACCGTATATATCCTACTATATAATCATACGTAATACTTAACTGCATTGCACAATGAAATGGAAGACCAAATAGAAATTACCACCTAAATCTACAAACCAAGATTACACAATTTATAAGCAACAACACATCCCAGGCCAGGCCATTGTGTACAATGCACTGCATACCTTTTCGCATGAACTGAATAAATAATCCCAACAGAGATGCATTATACTTTGAAAAAGAAGGCAACTCTGTTTCGTTTGTAGTACTCCAGCAAAATTTGGCATCGTAAAAATAAGCCATGCATATAATGCTTACCTACAGGAGTAAATGGGTACCTGATATGCTTGAGCGCTAGTTACTTTGGCAGCTCAGCTACAACCAGGGTAATATGTGTAATGCGCCATGAGCGTCAGAGCCTGACGGATACCGGCGCTATATAAATAACCCTATTATTATGTATAAAATATGTAGGAGTACAATACATGTATGTTGGTTTAAATGTACATTAATGAACTTCCTTGTATTACATGTATATCAGTTACACAACATCGCCAAAATAAAAAAACAAATAAGGATTGCTTGTTATCAATATGCATGTCATTGTAAAACAGGGATGACTTTGCATTTGATTTAAGCAGTAGGCCTACTAAATGGTACATGAGTTGTGATTTCCTAACAAATAAACTACATGTACATGTACATTTAAGATGAGTTACTGGTTTGAAACTGCAAAATGGCAGTTAAGAATAATATATAACACACAAAGAGATATTTGCACAAGCACCAACGAATATTATTATGAGTAAAAAAAAAAATACAGTGAATGAAAGAAGACCTCTCACTAAACTATTTTCATGAATTCTTCTACAGGTGACTGCTTTAAAGGTAAAGACCAGTATTAGAAACGCCCCCCTCTCAAAAAATGAAATGGAAGCTCTCATTACCAATCATGTGAAAGAATATGTTTTGACTAATACATGATGATGATAACAAATTTGCCGGGAAACCGCCTACTAATTCATATATTTGGTAAATTTGTTTCTCTCATGGTCTGTGAGAGATATAGGGTAGTCCCATATACATCTTTCTGTGTATAGTGCTTGTAACTTTACGAAGAATGGGCCAAATTTCTTATCATTTTGATGATTCCAGAACCTTGCAGATGCTAGATGCTAGACGATCAACCTTTTCTGATCGATTCCACAACGTTTCTTTCACAATGCAATCCCATGACCATAACTGGTCTTTACCTTTAACAAATTACATACATGTACATGCAGTGTATTTTGAAAATTGTATATTTATGCAAATGGTTTGCGTGACAGTAATAGCTTTTGGTACAGAGTGAGTAAATTTGTTGTGCCCTTTCCAATTCTTCCTATTTGTGCTGTAATATCTACAGAAAAGTGGCCTTGCCCTAAAAATATTGAAATTTAAAGGTACTACATGTACATGTATGTCCCATTTGCAGGCCAAAAAATGAAAAAGTTAAATTCCAACTGAATTGGAAAGATAATACTAATTTAGAACTTCCCTAAAAAAGGTGGGGCTTGAAAATGTTTACAAGTGGAAAAAAACGACTTTTAGTTATCAAATCGACTTTAGGGCTATAGAGCCCAAAAGTTATAGTCTTGATTTTCAGACAATTGTACCGAATGGTCATACGTTTTATGCTGCGCGATGATTCAATCAGTTTAATCTTGGCCATCACAAGAAGTGGGTTATTGATGTAGACAAATGCTCATGTACTCTTTACAACTCTTTTCATGTATGTTATAACCAAAGAAGAAAAAAAGCCAGTCAGTCACTCAATAGTGTCTGACAGTGAAGTCTAGCAAGTAAACGGGTTTCCTTGCATATTTTGAATATGAGGACACTGCTATAAACATTTAAATTTCACAGATAGGACATACATGATATATTCATAATTCCTGCAAAGTTCTACAGAATTTGAGGTTGGCTGCAAACCCATAGTATCTTTAAGGCCTGGCTACTCTCATCCCAAATCTTGTTAACAGGTAGTACCTTACTACGTAGAAATTCTCAGGGAAGCTTTGCTATGCTGCAATAATAGTGATACTTTGTACTTTGTATACATGTTTTGTATGTGTAGGTGATTTGAAGATTAAAGAGCTATTACATGAAGCTATTATCACAATCACTGTAAAAGAAAGATACTTCTATTCAAGAGGTGTAATACATACTTTCATGCAAATTTCAATCAAATTTTGAATGCAATTTTCTTTGAATTTCCCAAGCGAAACACATGAAAAATCTGCACTAATTAATAATCAAAATCACATAACCTGTGCAAATATATGCACATCACTTGAATACATTGACAATCCTCCTATGACATTCCACACGCATTGTACTATTTCTTATTCATGAAAACAAGTAAAATGAAACCAAATAAATTCATGGAATACCCTCAAAATGCAAGAGATTTTTGTCAGATTTTGATATGAAATAGTTTGCAAAAAAATGTGTGCATGTGAAAGAACACTTTCTACCGTAATTCAGATTAATATAGCCCCAAGAAGTTGTTATTACCGCTCATCTGCTTAATACAATAACTGAAGAAAATATGCAAAACACGCTCCGGTTAAGCAGGTACATACATGTACATTGTACATGTACATGTACATAGTACATACTACATGCAGATCAGTACAAAATTCAATTAACTAGAACCAATGATACTTTTTCGTATACCAGCAACTTTGCAGCAAATACAAGAAGCATAATTCATGGACATGCACACAAGCTGTAAAGCTCAGCACCGAATACACGGCATGCATAGAAACAAACGTTCATTTTAGCATCAAAATGAACGGGTAATGAATAAACTATGTCCCTACCACACTATGGTGACTTGTACATGAGGTGACATTTTTGACAGCTACTTGTACTAAAAATATATACATGTACAGTGAATGTAACGGTGATGCCATTTCCTTTTCTACATTTAGGGGCTCTTTTAATTTTTGTTGGTGGTCAAATCGCCCTCAGATCATGTTTATCATATCCTCACTATCCTGATTGTTACAACACAGAGATTAATAATTATATTTGCTTATATAGCGCCTAACACTTACTTTATCAGTAGTCTCTAAGCGCTCTACAATAATGCAGCATAATTACCCTGGCTTTAGCAGTGCAGCTGTTACGCGCGCTGCGTTTCAAGGAATAAATTCCTACCAGGTACCCATTTTATTCACCTGGGTGGAGTGTGGCAAATGTAGATCAATGTCTTGCCAAAGGACATTAGTGCGGCGGTGGGACTCGAACCGCGGGCCTTGTGATCGACAGTCCGGCGACGTATCCACTCGACCACAACACCTCTATATCCAAAACTTGTTTGAAAATGTAAAATTTTGACACCATTGTAAGGTCTGTTTGTAAAAATGTTGCTTGTTGCCTCACACACCCATGAACATAGCAAATGATATCATTGTAAAGACAACATTTCCAAAACAATGGCTCCAACATTACCCCATGTGCATCAAGGAGAAGGGATATTAGATCTAATAATATATAGACAGTTTTCAAGCAGGTTGGGATCATGTAGTGCAATTTTAAGATCAATTGCATCCAGTTAACCAATGTTTTGAATAAAATAAGGACATTCCTCCACCAAACAGTATTCAGATATGAGAGCGCAGTTTCAGAACAATCTGACAGCTGTCAGAACTTATGTTTTAGCATACCACTTATCTTCCTGGGGTTCTTGATTATGCTCTCATGAAGTGAAATTGTAAGATCAATTGCATTTAGTTATCCAATGTTTTGAATAAAATAACAACATTCCTCCACCAAAAAGTCTTTGGAAATTAGATGTAGATTGCAGTTTGACAATTTGACAGCTGTCAGTACTTATGTTTTAGCATACCACTTATCTTCCTGGGGTTCTTGATTATGCTCTTGAGCCACTTCCGCATTCTCTGGAGTGCCCACGATGGAAGATCAAGGAAGCAGTTCACGCTCTGATCCCTGGGATGCGGGAGATCATGGTCGGACAGACATCGCGTCAGGGTCACCAGGATGTCAAAGAAGCGTTCCGCCAGCATCTGTTCGTCCCACTCCGTCTCCTCGACACAGGCGATGTACATGATGGCTAAAAGGTGGGCGTTGGAGAGCACCTGCAGCTTGGAGTTGTTCACTCTCAGGACCTCCAAGATGGCTAGGCACTTCATCCTGCATCCTCCGTCTGAGCCGTCAAGCTCATGCAACATCTCAAGCACAAACTCGTTGAAGCACCACATCCACAGATTAGTATCCGGACGAAGATTAAGCTCCATACTTTCCACCTCATCATATTCATCGTCCTCCATCGTGCAGGAAGTACGGGGAGAGAACGGCGAAGATGTCAGGGTCACCAGCATGGGACCGATTTTGGCATCGATTTTGGCCTCGACGGTCACACTTGGTTCTTCTCCAGGAGACTGCTTGCAGAATTTGTTGATACTGCTACCTAGAAGTCTCTGCAGATGTCGAAGGACGTATGCCGGGCAGAGGTAGTTTCCTACCAAGAACTGGTCCCAAGGATCCTGGCCTTTTGGGATGAAGTCTAGATTTATTCGCCTCACCAGGAAGTACCCGGGTGCCTTCATAACAGAGTGTCGAGCATCCTCATACTCCCATGTGTGGGGGTTCATCTCAATGGGGAGGACGAGTAACTTGGTGGACGCATCGTAGGCTTTGACGATGGTCACCTGCGACCGGTCCCCAGCGAAGAAGGCATTCTGAATGGGGAGGTTTTTTCCGTGTTGTCTCACAAACTTCATGAAGAATGTTTTAAATGGTTTCAGTTCCTCTCTTTCCGCTTGCTGCCTCTCTTCATTTGGAAGGACATAGCTGGTGTAGTAGTTCTCCAACCTTGTCTTGAGAGGCACTCCATTCGTATTTGGAGTATCCGAGGTGACGGGTGCTGCTCGTCGAACATTTGCATGTTCCTGAGCAGCAGCTTCTTCGTAATCATCGGAATCCACCTCCTCGTAATCCGACCAATCACAGGGTCGGCAACCAGACACGCAGGGTTCCTTCTCCTCTCCTTCCCCCTCGTCATTGGAGCTCTCTCCCTGAGCGGAGGAAGATGCTGCCATCCTCTCTTGCTGACCATGACGCTGGAGCGCTCGGGCATTATCTTTTTCCCTCTGCAGCGATGCTTTGTAAGCCTCTGCAGCAATGATGGCACTGGCTGAGAGAACACCTAGTCCGGCTGCAGCCTTAAGCCCCATTGTCCACCAGGAATCTCTCTCCGGGGCGTTATGTCTCCCTCTGTTGTTAAAAGCCATCGAGAACTGCTACACCTGCACAAAAAGAACATGTTCATATTTGAAGATCATTATGGTATTTGGTTTCTCTACTCATTGTGTTTCATCTCTCTAAAGTTGTTAACACTTTTTTTAATGGGTTTTAAAAAAACGTCATGGTAGACCTCTAACTGAAGTTTAAGCAATTAAAACTAGTAACAAGTATGATTGTGTGACTAAAGTTTGCACGTGACCTTGATTCGCTGATAGTTTCATACCTAAAAAAAGTGATAAGGTTTAGAAAATCTGATAGTCTACAACAATGGAAAGAGGGACCTAACAAATTAAGATTACCCAGCAACCCAATTTTCTTTGAAATTGGGTGAGAATTCTGAAAATATCAACAACAGAATCAGCGGTTTTTGCAGCGTTTTGCGTCCATTCGTAAAATATATGAACTTACCAACAAAGGGTCTGGAAATCTTCATTTCGAAAGAAGATGTCATCAAAATTGCAGGAAATTTTCAAGTTGCACTATTTTGTAGTCTAGAATTTTGCTGTTCGTTTGGACATTATACCGGTAGATCTACTACCGGTAGGGCCTAGAGTTTAGATCTGGACTATACATTTGTGTAAATATGAGAAATCATGAATCAAATATTATTTTTGAATGTCTGCCAACTTTGCACACCCCATCATAAGTATCATGAAGTTACCTTAAATGTTGGCTGCTTATCAAATATGGGTTATCCAATACTTTAGTGTGTTTTATTATTTTGGGTTACTAACTTCAGTTTAACCCTAACCCTAACCCTAACCCTAACCCTAACCCTAAACCTAAACCTAACCCTAACCCTAACCCTAACCCTATTTGATAAGCAGCCAACATTTAAGGTAACTACATGTAGTCTATGTACTTCACAAGGCTCACTCACACAGTCACATTCACTTACTTTCAGTTCGCTACAGGAGACTCGAGACACGAGACAATTAAGTCTCAATAGCCAAGACACAAGTCAAGAGACGTGCGAAAGTACGACTACGACTACGAGTAGATCTAGGCCTACGTGTGTACGAGATTCGGTCTTCACACTCCAATCCGAAGGATGCTTCAAATCTACAGTAAAGAACAACAATCAGTGCGTGACTAGCATGGTGACTAGTCACTAAGAAAGTTAGAACCTGAGCTGCGTTCGATCGTAGTTGTAAATCCTCGTCAAAATAAGAGGCCTGACACTTGACCTAATTTGCACATGAACTTTCGTTTCACGTCACGGAATCGATTATATCGAATATGATGCAATGTTGGCTGTATGCATGCTGCGCTGCTCGCGCTCCCAGCGGCTGCATTTTATTTGTGTACACAACAACATAGGGGCGGAGATCTGCAGGATTTCGCACGCGCAAGCTTAAATAGTCTTTGTTAAAGTCATATCATTTTTATGTGATTCTTAAAATCACAAAAACAAGAACAAAAAATGTCTAAACCATAAATCGCATGACCGACCAGAACTGGTCAATACCTTTAACTAATTAGCACCTGCACGGTGCACCTTCATTAGTTGGCAAATGCTAGCGGCTTCAGTTACAAGTTAAAAACAATACATTGTTGGAGATGCCCCCCCCCCCCACAAAAAGAAATAGTCTAAATATTTGTTTTATAATCATGATTATCTTTCAAGAAAAAATAGAAAAGTCTATACACAGCTGTGCTCTAAAAAATGAAAAAAAAAGGTTCTGATTAACATTTCCTATATCTAACCTTAGGCCTTGATATATATCTAGGCCTGCTAGATAATAGTCTAGTTAATGTTTATCAGATCCCCCCCCCCCCCCCCCATTTTTTAGAGCACATGCAGCTGTGTTTAGACTTTTAGTGATCCATAAAACCAAAGTTTTATTTAATTGTCATAGAATTTTTGGTCTTTACCCCCCCCCCCCCCTCCCCTGCTAGAAAACACTGGATCCGCCCCTGGACTTTAGGGCTTTAGATAAGTTGCACAGGCGTTTCAAAACGAACAAAAGTGATTTTACTTTGTGAAAAAGTTGACGTCTGACAATAAGACTATGAGACTTACCATTGTTTTTTTGTCAGGTGATATGATTGATGCAAAGATTGCAAACCCGTGATCTAGAGGACTTGTGTAACCTGAATTCTGAAATGATCTTTTGAATTTGAGTGAACATACACTGGCTATACCATACTGCACTGCACTAGCTGCACTGGCCAAGAACTTTGTAAGTAGATGTAGAAGTATTGCGCATTTAAGTCCAGCTTGTTACTTTTAGGTAGGCATAGCTAGGTCTACATTTAATTGATTCACTCTGCATGCCATGTCACTAACTAACTTTTAAACAAAAAAGAAAGAAGTTTAGTCTTTGTCCTTACAAACTACAAAGTAAAACAAAAGGAAAGGCCAAACTTTATTTTTCGCACATTATAGTCTACTCTATATTGGTCGACATGTAGGCTGGGAGCTCACAGTGCATTAGGAAAAGGTATTGCATGTGTATGAAATAAATGAGAGAAAACAAAATAATCTACTTTGAGTTTGACAATTGATATATCAACTCAATACTGATCAATAAATTTATAGGCCACCTCATATTCAGCAACAAGAGGTGTTCATTTTGTAGTTTTGTATCTCATACTGTGTGTTCTGATAATAAAATTACGTAACATTGTCACTGACACTAGGTCTATAGTGTAAAATATTTGCCAGCAAGCTTTACCTGCTTACTAAATAAAGAAATGGTGAAGGTAATATATTATGTTCAAGATGCTGATAGTGGTGGTTATTTTACCTGATTGCTAAGAAAGCAATAAATGCTTGTTAGTAAGCAACCCGAAGACCGACGGCTTTAGGTCCTCTCTGAGGGACCTGGTAATGAGGATTAATGTCTTACCAAAGGGCACTAGCGCATCGACTTGGTTTCGAAACCGGGTCACCGAATTACGAGACCACTGCTCTACCGACTGTGCTATCGCGCCTCTGATACACTTTTTTTGTTCTACTTCACTCACTTCACTCACTTCACTCAGCTCACAACCAATATCTTATATTTCCTTTCCTTTTCAATATACAGTATACAGCACAAACTGTGTCAAGGTTGCAGTGGATTCAGCCGGAGCACAAAGAATGAAAGATGGCGAATAAATTCAGAATGTTCAAGATATTAACAGCTTTCCTTGTTTTGGTCCTTGTCAACCTTTCCACAGGTAAACTGCCATATTTTGTGTCTTCTAACTTTTAAACCAATATGTTCAAAATCATTGTTATAAAGTCGATCTAGCGAAGCTAGGTTAATGTGGATGGTGACAATGGAATTAAATTTTCCTTTGAAATTAATTCTTCCTCTAGAGATATGTTTTGGTTTAAGAATGTTTAATTCCCTGATTATTATTAAAATATAAAGATTAGTTTGTATTTTATTTCACTGGAATATTTCAGAGATCTCATTTCTCACACTCAAGTCGGTAAACTATCCAAATATTATTCAGACAAATTTTCCTTTCATTTCTTAATCCATATTAGACCAAATGGATATCACCTGATAGGCACGTAACTTTGCAATTGGAATTATACCACATGGAAAGAAAAAAATATGAATGAACGTGCACAGTACACAATGTCAAGTGGACTAATCAAAGTTAGGCAAAACAACAAGTGACCCCTTTCCTACTGGATTTTATATTTTATTCTACTTTGTGTGTATGTCTGCTTGTTTGATTGTTTTCATTGTAATGATAATTTTTCCACTTGCAGGTGAGCTACTGCAAGGTACCGTTTACAAGCAAGAAGATGGAACTTTCACGGTCAGTTCCGGCATCATCGACAAACAAGGGGTCGCGTACGGCTCCTACAACAACACCCTCTTCCAGACGGGATGGGGAGAGCTGCACCTGTTCGCCGGGTACTCAACGGCGGACAATGTCGCCCTCTCGGACGCTGACAGAATGTACGCAGCAGGCATCTTGGAAGGAGCTTTGACGGCCAAGTAAGTGATTAAATGTCTCTTTGGAGCAGTTTGTTTTTTGTCTGTTGTTAATTTATTTAAAGGCATCATTTAACAATGTTAAATCTGAGATGCACGGCCCCATGTGTTATCAGTGTCTGTGATATGGTGTTTGAACCCCTAAATAAATTGCACTTCAAATTGATCAAGAAGTGCCTCAAAACAGTAAAAATCTTTGAGTGACTGGTTTTACCATACTCGTTTTCCACAATAGACTGTAATGTTTTGAAAACCGTTAGATTTCTAATCATAAATATCTTAATAATCAGACAGGCGATCGGCTTGTAAAATTTATGGGTTCCTGACTGACCTGAAGGTTTATAATTATCATTGCAACATGAGCTAAATCCAGGATTTTGTTTCAGAATCTGAGACAAAGTTACCCAATCCCTTTAAAGCTACATGTAGGATGCACCGGTAATGTAGAAAGTAGCAGTTTATTTTCCTTTTTGTATTTTTATGATGCCGTGCCTTGTTTAGTCTCATACTCCAAGGGGAACACAGAAAGACAGAAGAATGACCAGTTTGTATAATGTTTGTGAAGTGGTAAGTCACTTTAATGAAGTGGCACAAAAGCACTTGCTCTTGTAATAGGTTTTAATTGGTAATTAAAACTACTGTTGAAAACACCTTGTTTTGGCATTAGTTAATTGTTCATACAGTTTTGAAAGCTGCAAGATAAGAGTGCCTCCATTGATCTGTGCAAGCTTATTCTAGTTTCAATGAGTAATTAATTGGAAACTCTTTATTGTTCAAAGTATGCATGTAAACCCTCAATGAAATGTAATAAAATTTATCAAATTAAAGGAAAATTAATATTCTACCAACATCAATTTAGATCAAGCTTTGAACTTTCATGCTTGGATGCATGGGCACATTTATTTTACCATTAGAAGATCTGACTACAGATAATTTCAAAATAGAGAAAGTAGCGCCATTCACATTGGTAATGTACATGTGCAGCCGTGAGATATTCTTGTTCAACATTAAAAAAAAGAATGAGGAGGATTGAGCTCTGGATGTCAACTGTGTAGTCTCAGCCACTCTCAGGACTGCATTGTTTTGACAAGCACAGTCAAGAATCAAAATGCCTTCCTTTTGCATGTCTTGCGATTGCCTTTCGTTTTAATTGTTTCGATTTGACGTGTCTACATGATGGAAATGCTAATCAACATTGGAATGGCCAGATGCCCCATTTTTATTCAGAGACTCACACATTGTAAAAATGACTTCATATGCTCACTCATGAATTGTACGATTCCAATTGCATATGATCTTTGAGGAGTAATTAATGATTAATTTGATATATTATGAAAGATAAATTTGTATCAAATATTTATTTGAGAAAATATTGGTTATATAGATTGTCCATTTTCATTTTTTGTTGCTAATAGTATTAGTCTACTGACTTCCACGGGTATACAAATCATTTATGAAATATTTGTTTGTGTTCATTATAATGATACCAGTCTTACCAGAAAAAAATGTCAGTCAAGAGTTATAAAAAAAGATTTTTCCTTTATAGATGAAATAAGGTACATGTAGGCACATGTTGTATGGGATACTGCTATGCTATGTACAGATGCCCTGTATGACAATAACCCTAATCTGCATTTATTTCACTTTGAAACAATGACTACTTTAAATGTCCATTGATTGACATTGCTCTTCGCCATTACTGAATTGATTATTTCCGGCTTTTTTGCAATACCTGAACTCTATTTGGCAATTATTGGTACACGTACGTGTATGCTTGAAACATGTCTAAATGTACATTTCTCGTCATTTGGACATGCTTGGTCTTTCAAGGCAGATTTCCCAGACCCTGCAGAACATCAACGTGACCTTCTTCAGCGCCGAAGGCGACCCAGAGATCTGGAGGAGGGTCGTAGACTTCTTCGAGACCCAAGACGCCTGGATGAAGGGAATGATTAAAGAGAGGGCCACCGAGGACCCCTTCTGGGAGGGCGTGGCACTGGTTCTCGCCCAGTTTGAGGGCCTGATAAAGGGGTACGAGATGAGCCAATTCTCCAACGCGTCTACGGTAGGTTTCAGTCTCCTATCGATCTTCAGGGACACTTTGTTCTGTTTGAAGATCCATATATGATTGTTTGCTCTGCAGGGGTGTGTTTCACTAAGACTAAGATCGACTTTAAGTTAGACTTAACTATGACAGGCCGTTAATGCCACTAGTTCCTCTGACCGTTCCTTGCATTGGTTTCTCAAGGGAGTCAAGGGACGTATAAAATCATGGTCACAAATCTACAGAATTTTACATTTTTTGATAGTACATTATTGAAGGAAAAAATATTATCTAAAGATCCTAATTGAGAGACCAATGGTGAGTGCAACTAGTGGCATAAAAGGCCTGCCATAGTTAAGTCCAACTTAAAGTCAATCTTAGCCTTTGTGAAACACCACCCATATGTTTGAAACACATTCATATTGCAGATATAATAAGTCATTGTATGTCACAAAGAGCACCACAGTATTGAACTGTTGTCATTTTCTCCCTATCTTTTTTTTTTATAGATTCATCATTTCATAATTACAATCTTTGTGTCCTAAAAACGAAACAAGTTGATGATTCTGGAGCCCTGATCTAATTCAGTCAAGTGGCAAGATTATAGGTCTATTTATTCTTTAAATATATTCTTAAAACTAGACAGTAATGCTAATTATTCCATAGAAATCAAGTTGCATGTAAAAGACTACTGTGAGATACTCCCTACAACTTCCATAGAAAATAATTTTCCCTCATTAATAAGCATGACAAGGTGGCAAAACTCAGGTCAATCAAGCCATCGTTGGACTTTGTAGGCCCAATTTTGTATGTTATTTTTGTTTAAAGTGTACCGGTATATAATTTTCAGAAAGTTTTCCTACATTTAAGAACTCTGAATGACATTTTGACAGTACCTCATCAAATGAACATCTGTTAAAAGAATTCAAGACTGCCTTTCATACGACAGTCAAACCTGCTTTAGTGACCACCTGTCTACAAGGACCACCTGTCTACAAAGACCACATTTCTTGTTTCCCTTGAAAATGGTTAATCATTGAAATATGTACTAAAGGAACCTGTCTACAAAGACCACCTGTCTATAAAGACCACTTTTTGTGTTTCCCTTGGGCGATCGCTATAGACAGGTTTGACTGTATCAACATTTGATAGCCTCCAAAATGGTTAATGTCATTCCTTTATCCTCTGCAGTCAAATGGTTTCTTGGCCATGCAAGTCTTGAATTCTTGTGGGGATCTCCTAGACCTCAAGAGCGCCGTCATGCCGTCCCTGATCCCTGACTGGGACAAGCTCACCAAGAAAGAGTTCCTCAAGTTCATCCGCACCTCCGGACATTGTTCAGCGCTTGTCAAGGTAGGTTAACTTGCTTCTTTGATCATTAATCAGCACTTATGAAGGCTCTTGCGGGTATAGATTTTTTGCGACTCAGACCATGGATGAGGAACTAGATTTTAATAAAGGTTCATGATAGGTGTAGATTTGTACCTTTGCCCTTTGCTCAGGTCACGTCTACAGGTAGATTTCCGCTTCTGGTCATTGTTCAGCACTTGTCAAAGTTGGTAGATTTGCACCCACTTTTTTTTCTTCCTTATATTTGTTTCTACACAGTTGTACTGTTGTATTACTTTCCCCTCCTTTTTTCCCTCCCTCTCCTATTTTATGTTTTCTCTGTATCAAAACTCTTGTTAAATCATTCTCGTAAATGTTTTTCTGACATACTTAGCAGTATCTTTAGTGATTTCAAGGAGAAATGATTGGAATATTAAACTGATGGTAGTCTGCAAATGTAGACTACAATCATATAATAATATTTTGTTACTGTTAAATGTCCAGTTATAATAATTCTTATTTTCCTCCCAGATGCCTAAGATCATCAAATTCTAACTGACTCGTTGTTCCTAGAAATAAGAAATAGTGGGGGGGGGGGGGGGGGGTCGGTCATTTGCACATGCTAAACCTTACCTGTGGAATCTGTGAGATCATTGTAACATTTCAAGTTTAGATTGTTTTAAAAATGCCCTCAAAACTCCTCTTTTCAAAATTGCTTTCCAGTAGATCTACTTGTATTTTCTAATATATACTATTGCAATTCTTATGCCTATAGTTCCTACTTTTCTTTTGCACCTTGAGCACATTACTTATGTAAAAATGGCAAAAAAATAATAAAATGATAAATAATATTAAGTTTGCCCAAAATAATAAGATACTCTATTATTATTATTATTACCTCATTTATTATGTATGTTTATCACTGTCCTGTAATACGTTATTTATATGTTTGTATTGTATTACTTTGTAACCAGTGGAAACCAATTTTCCTGATATGGATGATAAATTATTATACTTAAACTTATAGTTGCATGATGTTGCCCTTTGATTGTTGCAGGTACTGCCAGCCTTTGAAGACGTCTTCATGTCTCACTCGAGCTGGTTCACCTACAGCGCCACCCTCAGGATCTACAAGCATTATCATTTCAAGCTCGACTTTGAAGGAAACGCCGCCGAAGTGACTTCGTTCTCCAGCTACCCAGGTAGATATGTCTTCTCATGAACACCCTTGATAATATGTTTAATTATTCGTTTGCTGGAAATGTCCTGGACCAAATTCCTACATCAGGGGGGCGTTTCACAAAACTTGTCATTATTATAAATTTCATGATTAATAATTTCATGATTAATAATCATCAAAGCTAGCAGTTATTGTCAATGCTTTAGCGAAAAAATAAAAAGTCAGGATATTTTGTAGAAGGTCTGATCTAGAAGACAGTTGTCAAGGTTTTAATGCCTCCATTACAAAGTAGCTGAAGTTATGTTTTCAGGTTTTCTGTACGTTCTGTTGTCGTGATCGCGTTATCTCAAGAACCATTCGATGGATTCCTCCCAAACTTTGGTCATGTATGTATCTTGCAGAGCTGATGAACTGATTAGATTTTGGGGTCACGAGGTCAAAGGTCCATCTAGTTTGTTTTCATTTACATCGCTTTCCTTTTGCAGGGTTCCTGGAATCTCTGGATGATTTCTACATCATGAGCAGCGGCCTCTCCATGCTGCAGACCACCAACAACATCTTCAACAAGACACTCTACAAGTACGTCAAGCCCCAGTCCCTGTTGGCATGGCAACGGGTCCGCGTTGCCAACATGATGGCCAGAAGCGGCAAGGATTGGGCTCGCATCGTAGCCAGATACAACTCAGGTAATGGCCAATAATAATAATAATAAATAACAATATTCTGCTTTTATATAGCGCCTAATACAAATGTCTCTAAGATCTTTACATATATACTATGAAGTGTTAAAAAGAGTCCCTAGGTTTTTTTAACATTTTAATCTACATATGTGATAAAAGAGAGTGTATATAAATGTCATTGAAGAAAAACGGAATAGACATTGGAGACTCCATTTATTGGAATGTAAATATCATTAAATAGGCGGAAAGAGTAAAACTTTTCAGCATTGTCTAAAAATCTATCAAGGTTTATGTGATATTCTTTTTATCTCTCTCTTTTTTCGAGGTACTATGTTTGTTCAATTTGTAAAAAGTCTTTGCCTGCACCAGACACCATGGAGAACCTCTTTTAAGAATAATCTCATGCTTTTTCAGTTTTTCCCTGTTTAAAGGAAAAAGATTTTGAAATTTAGATGATAGTAAGAGTGATGTCAGAAGGGCGATAAAACCTCCTAGATCTAATTTCTGGTGAATTTTTCTTCCTAATTTTGAAGATAAGGAACGGTTTAATTGCCTGTTAAAACCTATGTAATGTATATCTACAAACATAGTGCCGCAAGCAACCTGTATAAGGAAAGTTGTTGTTATCTCTAATTACACTGTATGTTAAATTTGAAAATGTTTTCTTTCTTTCAAACATTTAACGTTTTTAATTTTATGTAAACACTTTTGTACCCCGCTGATGTTTTGCTTGAAGGTGCATGTAAATATCAGCTTGATAACGAGTTATATAAGAGACAAGAGAGGGGAAAACAATTTCCTTTTTTATAATAAAAGTGGAAATTCTTAGGAAAGCATACTTCTAGTTCGGAGATTTCAATATAGACGTACTGTAGAGGTGTTGTGGTCTAGTGAATAAGTCACCCGACTGCAGATCACAAGGTACAGGGTTCAAGTCCTGCCGCTGCACTTATGTCCTTTGGCAAGACGTTAATGTACATTTGCCACTCTCCACCCAGGTGTAAATGGATACCTGATATGCTTGAGCACTAGTTACTTTCAAGGCCAGCCTGAAAACATATCTAATGGCCAACTTTAACTAATATCATCTTCTTCCTTTTTTATGTGTAATGTGTAATGTATTGTAAGTAAAATTGTATTTAAGTATATTATGTAGCTCGATCATTGTAAGCGCCTTGAGCACCCTCTGGGTGGATATGTCGCGCTATAAAAATGTCTTTATTATTATTTATTATTATTACTTTGGCAGCTCAGCTACATGTATAAACAGGGTAATATGTTTAAAACGCCATAAGAGTCAGAGCCTGGCGGATACTGGCATTATATAAATATCCATATTAGTCTGTTGTATACAAAACGATTTCTATTTCAACTAATTTTGTCTTGACTTACCATTTATTTCAGGAACCTACAACAATCAGTACATGGTCATCGACAGAACCAAGATCAAACCCAACGTGGCCATCTTGGATGATGCATTGTGGGTGGTTGAACAGGTACCAACACTTGTAGCTTCAGGAGACCAAACCAACATTTTGAGAGCAGGTACATGTGAACAGGTTTCATAATTGACATTTATTTAGTGTTGTCTGTGCAAAGAAATTGTGTTTTGATGGACAATTTTTTTTTTTTTTGTTTTTTTTTGTGAACCTCTGATATTGTAAAATTTTGCAGATATGAAGCATTATAGATTTTTAGATGCATTGAAGTTTTACACAAGATTTTTTGTTTTCACTGAGGAATTGAATGTTTAAATTTGAATAGAGTATCATTACATAGTTTGTTTGGAGCCAGAAGGGCGTTAACTCAGATAATTTAACAATTTGATACTTTAGAGCTAGAAGGATGTGTTTAATAAACACATCCTTCTAGCTCTGAACAGATGATATAAAGCCGTCTTAAAGAGATGTCAATTGCTAGACATAATTGTTGTAGTCATAATTGTTGTAGTCATAATTGTTGTAGTCATTGTTGTAGTCATATTTGTTTCAACCATAGAGATAAATACTGTTTATGGTCGCCTACATCATGGATTACCTACCCCCCCCCCCCCCAGAATATCCGTCAACCCCTCCTTCCCTCTTACAAACAGTACTTGTCTTGGATGATAGCCTTGGCGTAGTGGTCAAAGAATGATAGGCAGTTGAAAGAGTAAATCAATACCTAGCCACCACTTCCTCTCTTGTCTCCATCTCATATTTTTCTTCTCCTCTTCACCCCTTTCACTCTCTCTCTTCTGCTTCTCTTCTCCCTTTCACTCTTTCTTCCTCTCTCTCTCTCTGTCTCTCTCTCTCTGTCTCTCCCCTTTCACCCTCTCCCTGGCTCTCGCTGTCTCCCATTTCACTCTCTTTCTCTCCCCTCCCCCTTTACTCTCTCCCTATCTTCCACTCTCTCTATGACTCTCTCTGTCTCTTTATTTCTCACTGTTTCTGTCTCTCCCTTTCTTCATATCTTTCTTTCCATGTCTATTTCCTCCTTTCCATCCTTCTCCCAACCCCTACCCCCATCTCTCTCTCTCTCTCACTCTCTCTCTTTCATATCTCACCCGCCATAACTCATTTTTTCTCTTCCATTTTTCTTCTCTCGTTATTTTCCGTTTCCATCTCGCTTACTCTCTTTTTACATCTCGCCATTCCCCTCTCATTTTCTTCTTTTCTCTCTCCTTCTTTCTTTCTGTGTGTCTTTTCGTCTATTGATCTTTGTCCTGTCTCTTTTATATATATAACCAGGTTACTGGCCCTCCTACAACGTACCGTTCTACGAAGAGATCTACAACATCAGCGGTTACCTGGAGTACGCCTATAAGGGTGGAGCAGACATTTCATATCAGCTTGCTCCTAGGGCCAAGATATTCAGGCGAGACCAAGGAAAAGTGGTCGATATGGAGTCCTTCAAGAAGATCATGAGGTTCAACGGTTAGTCTGAAATTATTGTTTAAAGCCCCACTGTACTACTTGTAGCTACTTGCTCCCTCTATATAGAAAACAATGCCTAATCAGTGACCATTGGTCCCCCATGATCCTCTTTTTCTTATCTTGATTGAGAGCTGAGTTGATGAGATAGCCACCTGTCAGTGACCACCCTGGGTGGTCTAATCCCTCCTGGCAAAACTAGTACAGACGGGCTTTAAGTATTTTCATAATGGAGGCTTCTTGTGTGGTGCCCATGTCCAGTGCGATGTTCGTTTGTTGCAATTAATCCACCACTGTAATTACCCTGATCATACCTGAGGGTCCATTACATAGATTTCAAGGAAATCATGTACCCATTGACAAGTGGGTGGAGCAGAGTGGCAAATGTGGATTAATGTCTTGCCAAAGGATTTCAGTGCCAGCCTCGGATTTGAACCCTGGGACTTAAAATTGAGAATCAAGCAAATAAACCACTATTCCACACCTAGATAACATGTCATAGATTCAAGCCCCATGTTCACTATTGTCTTGAACTGCAAATTTTGCAAAGGCTTTCTTGGTGACAAGTCACATTTTATAATTGCTACAGTAAATTAAAATTGGAAAATGAATCTGAAAAAGGGAATGTGTACATTTTTTTGCTCTAATGGAGATTTTATATCACTTGGGGGTGTTTCTTGGATCTTGGATTCTTTTCCTCCTAAATACTCCAAAGAAGAGTTTTGACTGGAGGTCCTAAAGGTAAGTTTAGAGTGAGGCAATAGATTATATATTTAGCCTGACGGTAGTGAAGAAAGAGAAAGAACTCAATAGAAGATGAAAAAACAGGCACTGAAAATGTGTGAGATGTCATGGGACATCGTCTGCTTGTGTAAATCATGTCCCTGCTGTGATCTCACACATCTCAGCAGCGTTCGGAGAACTCTTCAGGTGCTATGCCGGGGCTGTATTTAAGCGTTTTGTAATTTATGATAATCATTACTTCAAATGTTTCCAAGCATTGAATTTTGATAACCTTGTTGAATAAAAGTTTCAACTTTGCAATAATGAAAATAAAGTTAATTTTTAAAATCAATGAATATCTACTTTAAAGGCATAAATGTTGATTTAAATCATTCATATTATTTATTATCAAGGATATTTCATGTTCTTGATGTGGAATTTATGAAAAGTCTAAAATACTTCAATTTTTGCTGTTTAATATACTTTATTTTAAGGCTACAAATGGCTCTCCATAATGTTTAAGTCCAACTTAAGAGTTAAGTTCGACTTAGGATCTTTGTGAAACACCCCCCTGTATTTCATGTTTCACTCCTAGATTACAAGAATGATCCATACTCAGAGGGAGATCCGTCCAAATCAATCTGCATGCGTGGTGACCTCATGACCTCTCCTATGCCAAATGGTTGCTATGACACCAAGGTAAATATTGGCTTTTAAGTTTTTATACTTTTTAAGAGAAATCAGTGAAAAATGTTAAATGATACAGCTTTGGAAAATTTATTTGGAGTTGGTTTGACAATATTTGCTCCGGGCTTGATATTGTCATAAATATAGGGTTAAGGTTAGGATTAAGTATAGTGTTTAAAGTCGGGGATGAAGTCAAGAATTTGCTAAGTGTAGGGAATCGACTGGTGTTGTTCCCAGAGCATTTCATTAAGGTACAACTATATTTTTTGGCATTGATATATATATATATATATATATGTATATATATATATATGGATTGTGTGAATTCCTACCACAGGAAGTCTTAATTTAGGACGAGAGTGTAAATATAGAAGATTACCTTTTGTAAAACTACCTTTAATTTCACAACTTATTCTTCTTTGTACACCTTTTGTGCAAGTTTATTCGGACTATCTGCAAATGTGTGATTAAAGACCAGTGAAAAAAAAGAGTCGTTGTGGCAGATGTTATTTGGCGATTCAGTCAAATTTATCCAGTTTATTCTGTATCGTTTTCTCTTTCATCCATTTCGAAACTTATATGAAGTATTTCGAAACTTATGTGAAGTATTTCGAAACTTATGTTTGAAGTATTTCGAAACTTATATGAAACTCCTCCCTGTCTTCCTTCAGGTGACTAACCTAGCAATGGCGGCCAAGCAGACGAGTTTCGTCATCAACGGGCCCACCCGCGGAGATGGAAGCCTGCCCCCGTTCAAGTGGGTCGCCCCCTTCACAGGCTGGTCTCACGTTGGACTTCCTACGGTCTATGACTTTAACTTTGTGGAAATGTGTCCCAAGGAGCTTTAAGGATGTTTCAGAAAAGGGGATGAATTCACCATCCAGAATCATTTCTTGAGGCCTAAATCTTCCCTTTTTTTCTCCTTGGAAGGGGTGTGGGAATAGGGAGGGAATTGGAGGGAGGAGGGTCTCTGCTCTCCATTTTATGAATTATTTGAAATCAGTACTCGGTAATCCAGTACTCGGTAATCACTCTGTCTAAGCAAATTTCAAATCGGTCATCTTGTTCACACACTGGTCTCATGATGGACTTCATGCACTGTTTGGACAACATTCCTACAGCTCCTTTGGACATATTTCCTCAATGTTAAAGTTAAAGGAGCTGTAGGAATGTTTAAAAAAGTGGGTGAGTTTACAATCCAGAATTATTTCTCGAGGCCTAAATCTCTTTTCTTTCCATTGAAAGGGTGTGGGAATAGGGAGAGAAGTAGGAGGAGGGTATCTGTCGTCCATTGTATGAAATATTTACCGTCCAGAACAATTGTGTAGTTTCAGTAATGCTGTCTATTTAGGAAGGGGTAATGGAATAGGGAGAGAGCATTCTCTGCCTACCATTTGAACAAATTAATTGATATTATTAGTAGTCACCTCGGGGATCACTCTATCAAAGGAAATACAGGAATCTTGCAAAATGATGTACAGTGTGAAATATCCTGTCAAATATCCTGTCAGATTTCAAAGAAAATGATAGAACTTTGACATTGGAAAGAAAAACGTGGATGATGAATGAGGAATCAATTTTACCGGTACTTGGTATGTGCAGACTATGCAAGTGACTGAATTATGATATTATTGTGTACATGAATACACCTATTGCATTTTCCAAAATTGCTATGCTTATTATGATGAATACATAAAGAAGCCTATTATTGCTAAATTGCTACACATATATCACTAAAATTTAATGTCTTTATTGCTCTCTCAGGTGAAGGTTTAATGAAGAAACAGTATTAAATACCATTTATTTGAACATATATTTTTCATTGCATTGTATTTGGACAATTACGTAATTGCTGTGTTGTGAATCATGTTTATCTTATATTACAATTTAATGTCGTGTACGAACCCGGAAATGTGGACTTTTGTGATTGTTAAAGCCCCTCAACACTACTTGTAGCTACCTGCAAACAATGCCTTATCAGTGACCATTGTCCCCCTTTATCTTAATTGACTGTTAATTGAGAGCTGATTTGATGAGAGAACCACCCGTCAGTGACCATGCAGGGAGGTCTAATCTCTCCTGGCCAAACTAGTGCAGATAGGCTTTCAATGGATCGTTGGTCGAATTTTGAAATTTCACAAACTACAACTGCCCCATGTGAATAGAGGTTAGGACCAGGGATGGTTTTGAAATACAAACTTTTACCATCAAAACTGAAATAGTACACTTGAAATAGATAGAGGCTGGATGCTGTTTGATATTTGAATAAGTAGATATTATATCGGTAGTGATATTGGACGGCCATTAAAGTATTAGACAGTGGTTTTTTCATGTCTGAACAAGCCTTTGCAGGAATTTCTATACTATTGTTTCTTTAGAAATCTTATTGATATGAGAGTGAATCAATGATATGTCTTTCAAATTGTATGTTGTTCATGTAAATATCATTGATATGTATATTCTTTTAAAAATTGACATTTTTTTTGGCCTCATTTTTAATCATGAAATTTGAATTTTAACACGGACAATAAACATGTAAATCTTAAGTCATTGTTTTCTTATGCAAAATGCCACTTGTTAATTTGGTGACACAATTTCTGTCCTTGTAATTGTAATGAATCGTGGATACAGTGCACTAATAAATGTCTTTACGTGTAAAGTATGTTTATTGCAAATGTGCATGTTATGTAACTACAATATTTCACAATTAAATGTAACAATTATTTTCATACCAATATATATGGATATCACGATCCATTTGTGTCTGGCCCGTTATATCTTTGATCTCTCTCCTGGTATCGACCTACTACTGACCAACTAGCCAACAGACGTGTAAATACTAATATAGTATTGGATGGCTTTGAGTGTGATACAAGAATATATTGCTCAAGCTATGACAATATTATTATTATCTATATCAGGCTGACTAGTGAAATAACACAATTTGACTTTTTAAATATGAAGTTTCCGGATGACGCAGCAATAAGAAAACAGTATTGATCTGTCATCCGGGTACTGCGCTAAAGATATTAAATACACTGATTCATTGTACTACTTGGAAGCCTTATATAGATGGAAATGACAAATACTGCCAATGAAAAAGGGTATCTAATGAAAATTGGAAAAACTATGAATTTCATCAAAAATGTTCAGCATTTTGGGCCAATCTTGTTATCCTTTTTTTCTCCATCTATCCAAAGTAAATGTTGCAACAGTTTATCATAAAAGGGTGTCCGGGTAAATTTCATGAAAATTGGAAAAACATGAATTTTGGACATATACTGCAAGGGATTCATTTCATCATTTTTTGCCAAAAATCAAAATTTCAATCGACCAACCAACCCCACAGCACCCTGATCATTAAAGTAAACACACAATACATGTTTGTCTAAAGAGAAACAAATATTTTATTTCAGTTGCTATATATAAAATTTCTATTTACAGATGTATACTAATATTATGTAAAGTAGCACACAAATGGAGATAAATCAATGCTCTACAAAATTCAAAAGCACTTCAACAAAGTAATTAACACCACATGAAATCATCAATGGAATGCAATAAAACATCTCAATAATATACACAAAAATTCCCAAATTACAGTTTTACCATTTCTCTGATCAGTGAAAAGATGATTTATTACTAATACAATACTTACTAACAGAACTTGCAAAGCAAATCAATACAATATAGTACTAAAAACATTGTTCATTAAATGACAAAAATAGCTATTTCATTACAACACTATAACATCAATAAATAAATGCAATGGCACACAACGTCAAACAAGGTGATTAGTTTCATATACCGGTACATGTACTGTTGATTCAGTGAGACACTGTAATAACAAATCATTATTCTGTAATTCTACACTCAAATGGCTTTTCATTCCCTGTAATTTCTACAGCAAGCTGCACAATCATGTCATAATTCTAAATATGTACCGTTCTTGTCCAATAAAACTCATCTGAAACATTTGAAAATTACACAACAGAAAATAAGTTTTGTTACCCACTGGCAGCAAGGATACATAACCACAAAATAAAGTTTGAATAAAAATGAATATCACAAAATGCAAAAATGGACAAACGGAAATTAAGGTATCTCTTTTCGATTCATTCCAAACACACCTAACAATATATGTCAGCATTTTGTTTTCAAGAAAAAAAAGAAGACTTCACATATAGTACCTTCAATTTAAATTTCAAATATACATTTACAAGTATTCCAGGTTTCAATACTTTCAAAGTGATGTTAGTGCATCCTTCTAAACTTCAATTCAAAGTGAAAAGCACTTACAATTTCAACAAGTAATACTGCTATTAGTACTTTCATTTTCAATAGTATACAGCGGTGACAAAAGCCCTACTAAATGAATCAAGTTTACAGTTAGATTCTCTTAGATACTTCAAATACAAGTACGCTTTAATCGTGGGAGGGGGGGGGGGGGGGGGGGAGTGGGTAGATTGAGCAACTGTTTGCTGTCTAAACTACTATGCTATTATTATTTCCAGTGACAAAATTACTTTAAAATTTGGGGGGGCTACTTTTCAAGCTTGCTTGCATGAAAATAACACTCTTTAAATTGTTTTGCATTGAACTCTATGCAAAATTTGGGGGCTCTTTTGGGCATTTCGGGGGCTAATTCGCCCCAAGCCCCCGTGTATTTTTTTCCCTGATTATTTTTATTACCAACACTAATGTAAATCACTACACTAAATATTGAGTAAATTGAGAGGTTCCCCTATGGCATTGCTATTTCTTTGGAAGCCTCATTTTCAATTTTTATAAAAAAACTACACGTATCAAATGGAAGTGTTCTCTGTGAAATGCACCTTTCATTGTAGAATCCAAAGGAAGTTGAGCCAAATATTTTCTGTTGTTTAACTGATAATACAATAAAGAACCATTTCTGTTTCATTCAACATGATCACAATCGATTTAGAAAAATCAACTGAAGGCAATTTCAATAGCCTTGTGCGTCACCTACATGTATATGAAAAGTGCGAACATGACAGTGGCGTTGCTATATCTCTTAATCCAAACATGATTTTCATGAGACATGCAATAGGGTAGTGAAATTGCCCTCGAGTTGATTTTGCAGAAAATAGTTGCGATCATGCTATTCTTGAAAAGTTGTGAATTCAGTAAAATAATCATTCATCCACTTTCTTATAAAATTATATAAAAATATTACTTGGAAAGATTAAGATAAAAGAACTTTCTTCACCCCCCCCCCCCCTTCCTGCAAAATATTCTATTTAACAATATTAATCAACAACTAATTATCAATTCAATGTAAACAAAATATTTTATTCAGCAGCAAATTATCTTATTTAACAAAAAATATCTTATACATCATGAAATATCTTATTCTAACAAAATATCTTATACAACAGAATATCTTATTCCACCATAAAACTTCCTACTTCCAATACTGTACTGGTCAACTTATAAAGTGCAGTATATAATCATCAAAAGAAAACATTCTTAAACGCATGGGAATCCTGTTTTTGTAGGAGCTAAAGTGTACGATTTATTGAAGAGTTTGCTGTCAAGGCCAATGATTAGGAAGGGCTCCCTCCACACTAACAATTTTATAGTTGGGGGTCTGGATTGAATTTTTCTGGTCTATTTTGCATTGAACCCTATGTACAGATATTGACGTTTTGCGGGTCCAGACCTGCGTTGCGGGCACCCATGTGTCCCTGTTGTGAGTCAAACTCTTAAATGCTCCCTTTAAAGCATGGCAAACGAAAAAGCAAATAATCTTATTTCTCCTATAAAGCTATTACCAAAGTAGGAATCACCAAACAATACATCTAGCACCTTGATGTCAATATCAATTCACAATTAAAACTAACAGGTCCACAAGAAAGAAATTTCTGAAATTCTATTGCTATGTTTATGATGGACCCGATTGGCAACAATTTTTTAGCAAGATCAGTCCATTACCGGTAGCCACTAGGTTCGTGTCTCTATAACATGATTTCAAACCAGACTTTCCATGCACACCAGAGGAATTATGTGGCACCAACAATAGGGGCCACCTGGGAAAGAGGTTCAGACAGAAATTTGGCAGAAGCATTTATTTATATATTTGCATTCTTCATGCTCATGTTCCCTTTTCATTCACACTTCTTACAGCACAGTCTTTCAGTTGCACTACTGCCACACCCTATTTTCCTTCCAACCCGTTCCCTTTGTTGTCTTCTCATTCTCTATGTGTGGCTTGCCTTGTCCTGCCCTAGCAACATGCCCTTTCTCTTCTCTCATTCGATCTCTTCGCCACTCACCTTTGATCTACATGTATCTAGCCTGCTCACCTCATTGGTTTCTCTTATCACATGACTTTCCTCCGATTGGTTTATTCTGTTATGATGCCTGATTTGTACTTGGACACATGTTATAATTTGGGAAATTAAAGTTAGTTCTGTTCCGTCCTTCTTCAAGTGAGGTTGTCTTATCTACTGTCCTGAGTTACTTGAGTTTAGTTGGAGAGATTAGTTTGATTTGATGAAGCATGTTTAATGATTGATTTTGGTCAGCTATATTTTCCCTCCGTTTAATAAACATGTTACACTATGTTTATGATGACCCGACTGGCAACAATTTTTGAGCAAGATCAGTCTACTGGCCAGGTTCGTTTCTCTCAGAATGATTTCAAAACCGACTTTCCATGCACACCAGTATGTGGTGCCAACAATAGAAACAACATGGAAATAGTAACAACATGGAAAGAGATCCAGGCTGAAATTTTGAGTAAGCACAAGGAATCTCCTGTGGTTCTTTTGCTATGTTTATGATGACCCGACTGGCAACAATTTTTTAGCAAGATCAGTCTATTGGCCAGGTTTGTGTCTCTCAACATGATTTCAAACCCGACTTTCCATGCACACCAGAGGAAGTATGTGGCGCCAACAGCAGAAGCATTTAATAGGAATCTCCTGCGGTTCTATTGCTATGTTTATGACGACCCAACTGGCAACAATCTTCAGCAAGGTCAGTCTATTGACCAGGTTCATGCTTCTCAACATGATTTCAAACCCTACTTTCCATGCACACCAGAGGAAGTATGTGGTTCCAACTGTGGAGGCCACGTGGTCAGGGATGCAGGCTGAAATTTGGCAGAAGCATAAGGAATCTTCCTGTGGTTCTTTTGCTTTGTTTATGATGATCCGACTGGCAACAAATTTTTTAGCAAGATCGGTCTATTGGCCAGGTTTGTGTCTCTCAAAATGATTTCAAACCCTACTTTCCATGCACACCAGAGGAAGTATGTGGTTCCAACTGTGGAGGCCACATGGTCAGGGATGCAGGCTGAAATTTGGCAGAAGCATAAGGAATCTCCTATGGTGGCGTGTGGTAAGTGAGATAATACAATTTGTGTAACTTATTGCTGGATTTCTAATACTGTGCATGGGATATACATGTAGCTTATTTTTCATGGAAGGCTCTGATGTGCGCACACGTAAATCAAATTTTATTTCTCTTTATTAATTGTGATGAATGTTGTTATGTTAAAATGTAAATATTTTGTTTGTATTTATATATCTATGTACACGTACATGAATCTGAAGTTTTTATTCACCATCAAATGTTCGAAGACAAATTTTTTGTATTTTTTTAAATGACAATAAATTATCTTGAATCTTGAATCTAATTCCATCCGTGCTATGTTCAGGCAACAGCCTAGCGGCAAAGGGCTACTGAAGGAGGTTGCAAAAGCACATCGCATG